CTGTCGACGTCACTCTCAAAGTCAGTTCAATTGTTATTACACTCAAAGCTCTTGCAGACACAGGAGCGAATGGATTTTCTTTTATTGACTTCACACTTGTACATCAGCTGTGCCAAAAATTCAACCTAAAACCAAAAAAACTCCCTCGGACAATACGTACCAGAGGCTACAATGGAGACGGCCAACAAACCGTTACTTCTTTTCTTCCACTTGACATCATTGTTGATGGCCGCCACCAGCACAAAATCCCATTTATCATGCTTAACCTCGCCAACCACGAGCTCATTCTAGGCCTAAAGTGGTTTGAATACTTCAACATCAGCATCAGCCCACGAACAAGAACGCTTATCTGGCCCCTGGATTACGACCCCGCACCTTCGTACGAACGCTTAGTTCGTTGGAAACGTTCTGATTTGTACCCAAAAAGAATCGACAAGGCAGACCAGCTCAACGCAGACAAAAGAGACGCAGCGCAGGACGCGAATTTCAAACGCCGAGAAGACGGAAAGCTTTCAACTCTACGAAGACCACCCCCTATACATGTAGAAGGGGCGGAAATTTCAATTGTTACAGTTGAGCCAGCTCACCACAAAGAACTAGCTCGCCAGAAGAGCCTTCCAAGAAAGTTTTCCACTGAACTGAAAGAAAACCTCAAGAAAATGCAGGACGAGCTTGACAACAAGTCAAAGTCAAAACCCCTCCAGCCAAGACAACCAAAGCCTCTTTGGACGCCTTCAAAAGAGCCGTCAAAGCGCCTCGTCGACATCCAAATGATTTCTGCAAATAGCTTTTATTGGAACTGCAATCATAGAGAAAACACTCTCTTCTCTATTACACTTGCTGAGCTAGACAAGCAAATTGACATTCTTCAGCAACGCCAAGACAGCTCTGATAAATCCGAAGAATCAACCCACGAAGCACTTTTACGAGTTTTACCCCCTGAGTGGCATGACAGGATAAAAGCCTTCTCAAGAGGCGAATCAGACACGCTAGCTGACTTCAAGCCTTCAGATCACAACATTGAACTTGAAGAAGGCCATTCAGTGAATGAACTACGCCAGAGCCCACTGTGCAAGCAGTCATTGGCAGAACTTGAAGCTATTCGAGAGTACCTTCGCGAAAACCTCGCTAAAGGCTTTATTGCCCCAAGCAACGCTCCCTACGCTTCACCAGTGCTTTTTGTAACCAAGCCTAACGGAGAACTTAGATTCTGCATTGATTACCGGAAATTGAACGCTATTACAAAANAGGCTTTATTGCCCCAAGCAACGCTCCCTACGCTTCACCAGTGCTTTTTGTAACCAAGCCTAACGGAGAACTTAGATTCTGCATTGATTGGCGGAAATTGAACGCTATTACAAAAAAGGACCGCTACCCACTTCCCTTGATTGAGGAGACTCTTGCACGTCTTGCCAAAGCAAAAATCTTTACCAAATTGGACATCCGCCAAGCTTTCCACCGAATTCGAGTAGCAGCAACATCAGAGGATCTTACTACATTCCGTCCACGCTATGGTGCTTTCAAATGCAAGGTCCTTCCCTTTGGACTCGCAAATGGGCCAGCAACTTTTCAGCGCTATATGAATAGTGCCCTGGCCGAATACTTGGACATCTTTTGTACAGCCTATTTGGATGACATTCTGATTTACTCTGAGGACCCCCTTGAGCACGAAGAGCATGTCAGAAAAGTCCTCAAAAAGCTTGAAGAGCATGGACTTCACGCTGATATCAAGAAGTGCGAATTCAAAGTAAAGAAGACAAAGTTTCTTGGATTTATTATTGGAACTGATGGAATTCAAGTCGACCCTGCCAAAATCAACACCATTACTCAGTGGCAGCGGCCAAAGACGGTCAAAGCAGTTCAGTNGACAAAGTTTCTTGGATTTATTATTGGAACTGATGGAATTCAAGTCGACCCTGCCAAAATCAACACCATTACTCAGTGGCAGCGGCCAAAGACGGTCAAAGCAGTTGAGTCTTTTCTTGGATTTTGCAACTTCTACCGGAGATTCATACGAAACTACAGTGTAATCGCTGCTCCCCTCACACAGCTTACAAGGCTTAACCATGTCTTTGACTTCAACGATGAGTGCGTTGCTTCCTTCGAAGGATTACAACACTGCCTCACGAATGCCCCGATTCTAGCTCATTTCGACATTGACAAGCACTGCCTTCTAGAAACTGATGCTTCTGATGCAGTAGTAGCCGCGGTTTTCTCAC